GATAAACTTATTAGTCAAACTGCATTTCAGGAGGTATGTGTAGCATTTAAGGTTATTAAAATATAAGTACATAAAAACACATATGATTAACGTATCGTAATATATATTTATATTTAAAAAAATTTCAATTACTTATTGTTTGAAAACACGCTTCAACATTATAACAAGTTTATTTTTCTATAATCGCATACTGTTATCTAAGATTATTCTTTGGAGGAGATAGTTTGAAGTTCATAAACAACTTATGAAAAATGCAAAGTTGTACTTACCTTTATGCTTCTCCAACGATATATCATCACCTTTCAATCAAACAGTTTTGCATCTGTTCTCTTCTCATGCTGATACTCTTTCTCATTACTATGTCTTTGTTTTGGAGCATATTTTGAGATTTCTGCGTACGTTTAATCGCTGTGAGAAGTAGTTTATTAGTTTTTCCTTTTGTGATTAACTGTTGTACAAACTGCCTTCACACGACACAGAGTGATTGCCCACAATGGGGAGATCAACACGTTGAAAGGTAACGTGAATTTGATCCACGCGCGTGAGGGGGTCATGGAGAGCAAGTTGTTTGGAGAGGATTTGCAGAAACTCTTCCCCGTCGTTGAGGCGGGCATGTCTGACTCGGGAAGTTTCGATAATGTTCTCGAGTTTTTAACCATTGCTGGTGGGAGGAAGTTGCCTGAGGTGAGTGAGTTAAAATCTCATTTGCAATACGTTCTCTCCTTTCATTACTGCCACTTATTACTCAAAAGTTGTTCATGGGTTACTACATATAAACATTCTTCTGTAACAAGTCTTGAAAATCTCGGTAGGAGATGATGAAATGATGATGTGATGTTGTTTGGAACGCAGGTGATTGTGACGATGGTGCCAGAGGCATGGCAGAACGACACCTGCATGCCCGATGAGAAGAAGGCATTTTACAGGTGGAGTGCCTACACAATGGAGCCATGGGACGGACCCGGTCGGTTTGCCTTGCTATTTATTTCTCTATGTGCATTTTTTCGTTGCTTTCAAAAGCATAGCTACTTCAAATGTTGTTATGTAGTTACATTTCATTTCATACACTCGAATATTCTACCAACTGCACATCAGCACTGTTCACATTCACTGACGGCCGATACATTGGGGCTATTCTGGATAGGAATGGTTTGAGACCATCGAGATATTACGTCACCAAATCAAACCACATGTACATGGCCAGTGAAGTGGGAGTTACGGATCTCGATCCCAGTGAAATTGTCTTCAAGGTTCCTTTTGGCTCTCAATCATGTTTCTCTTCATCTTATTTGGATATCCAATCAAATTTTTTATTTTTATCCATAATTCTGTATTTAAATTAGAAGAAAGTGTTTTGCGAGTTTTAATGTTGTATAATTTTTGCTATTTTTTAATTAGTTTGAATAGTTAAAAAGCTACTTATTCACGATTATCTGTATTACTTTTAGACATTATGCAACATTTAGACATATAACTTAAATGTATCGCATAACTTTTTTTTATATGACGTTAATTAGCACACGTAACAAAATGATTCACCACCTGACAACCAGGGTCGTTTGAAGCCGGGCAGACTGTTGCTGGTGGACACGAAGAAGAAGATGTTCATAAGAGATGAGGACATCAAGAAACAGATATCCTCCCTCTACCCTGTCATCGACTGGCTCAATGAAGAGGTCAACCAATCCGCAACTGAATGAATGAATGAACGAACGAACGAACGAATGAATGAATGAATGAATGAGTGAATGGATGAATGAATGAATGAATAAATGAATGAATGAATGTATCATTCAATCGATCAATGCTGTTGCTTGCAGACGTTCACACTGACGGACATGTACCACGATCATCGGAGTCAGAAGCGACTTCAGCGTCGAGACAGCTCAGCCAACATGACGAAGTACAGAGGATCGATCATGGAGGAGGACAGAAGGCTGCCCATGTTCGGCTGGAATCTCGAAATACTGAACATGCTCGTCATCAACATGATCGTTAACAAGTTAGTGTAGGCTGGATTGCTTCTGATGGACCTTTTTATGATCCTTCTCATGGTTTAAATGATTATTCGGTTAGAGGAATGGGTACCTGTAATCAGTTGTAATGAATAATGTAGTAGTGTCTGTTGACTGAACTTGGTCTCGTCTTAAACTTGAGGTTGTGATGTTTCATAATTTTGTAGAAAGGAAGCTCTGGGCTCCATGGGGAATGATTCTCCATTCGCCTGCTTGTCCCAGTACAATCCCACGCTGTTCGATTACTTCAAGCAGTTGTTTGCACAGGTCACCAACCCACCTATCGATCCGTTTAGAGAGAAAATTGTCATGTCCCTGGTTAGTTCGGTGTTTGTGGTTTGTGACTTTTGTTATTAATTAATTAATTGATTGACTGGTTGGTAGGATGATTGTTTAGTTGATTGATCAATTGGTGTTTCAACAAACATTGGTGAACTTTATACAGCGTTATTATGTGTGTGTGTGTTTGTCGTCAATTGATTCTTGCGAATAGTTCCTTATTTGTTCAATGATTGTGCTCCATCTCTTCATTTCCTCTTCTCATCAGTTCTCCTGGCGCCCTTGTTTGCTTCTGTTTATTTATTCTGCTCTCTGCTTTGTAGTTTGTTTATGTTTGATCAATCGGTTGGTTGGTTTCATTTTTTGTTTAGTAGTTAACCATTCAATTATTTCTTGATTTTTCAGATTCTTTGCTTGATTATTTGTTTGATTGATTTATTCGTTCATTTGTTAGTTCGTTCGTTCGTTCGTTCGTTCATTCATTCGTTCATTCATTCATTCATTCATTCATTCATTCATTCATTCATTCATTCATTCATTCATTCATTCATTCATTCATTCATTCATTCATTCATTCATTCATTCATTCATTCATTCATTCATTCATTCATTCATTCATTCATTCATTCATTCATTCATTCATTCATTCATTCATTCATTCATTCATTCATTTATTCATTCATTCATCCATCCATTCATTCATTCATTAAAGCACTCATTCATTTATTCACGTTCACTTAACATTGTTGTTCGTGTTAATTCACCATTTCACTGAGTTGAGGAAGAGACTGCAAATATTCTCACCACTCTTCGACTTACTTTTTCGGTTACATTCGTGCTGCAGTCCATTTAAAACATGCTGACACCCTCCTTCCTACAATGTTTCCATCATAAATTAAATTTATCATCATCGTCATCATCATCGTTGTTGCAGCCAATATCAGTATTATAAATATATTTTTTCCAATAAATAGGCCATTTCCATTTGAAAAGTTTCATGTAGTACTATGTGAGTGAATATTCATGTGGTGTTGAACACTGCAAGCAAAATCTGAATGAACATTTTCTTAATGTGTAATTTCATAACGTGAATGAATACAGGCTTGCCCCATTGGTCCAGAGTACAACATTTTGGATCCGTCAGCCAATCAGTGCAAGAGGTTGTGGCTTGAACAGCCAGTCCTATCCAGACAAGATATGTCAATCATCACATTCACCTCATACAAAGGATGGAGGGTTAGGCTGCCTCGTTATTTATTCTCTTTGCAAATGTTCATTTAAACTTATTCATTTTGAAACAATCTAACTCATAAAATTTACTTTATAATAAATAATCTCAAGAAAAATATACAGATAAAACTTGAAGTTATAATAAACAGCTGATGAAATAACGAAGAACAAATGTACACACACACACACACACACACACACACACACACACGCACACACACACGCACACACACACACAGACGAAGACCATCCACATAATGTACCCAGTGCACCAAGATATCGATGGCTTGGTACCTGCCATCGATAACATCTGCCACACAGCCGAACAGGCTGCACTCGAGGGCTTCCAGATCATTGTGCTCTCTGATAAGAAGGCTGGGAGGAGATTGGTTCCAATAAGGTTGGCTGGCATTGGTGCTATCTAGGTGCTTGCATTATTAAGCTGTGCTAACCGATCTAACGGTTCTGATTTGCTTTCTTGAGTTATGTTGTAATTTTTGTTCATTTGAAGAATTTTTCTGAAAGTCTTGTTTCGAAATTATATCTTTGAATGAGAAAAAGTCAGAGCCGTCGTGGGGCATTATTTATTTCTATTTGTATTTCTGCTTTCGCACTTGTGCAAATTTAATATATTTAATATTAGTATCATTATTTAATTTAATCTAAATTTAAATATCGTTGTTATAAATTGAATTATCTACAATAAGTTCTTTGCTGGCGTTGGGGGCTGTCCACAACCACTTGATCAGAAAGAAACTGAGAATGAAGGTTGCTCTCATTGTGGAGACTGGTGAAGCTAGGTGCGAACGTTTTTACTGCTTTCAAATTTTTATATTTTCAAATTCTCGTTTTATACAAGATAAAATTATTTTTAATGAGTTCGTTTTTTCGTATGTTTTTAATTTCTTCATTAATTTGTTACAATTGATTGGAACAACGCAGAGAGGTGCATGACTTTTGTTTGCTGCTGGGTTTCGGAGCAGATGCCATATGCCCCTACCTCGTCTACGAAACGATGAATGCTCTGAGGAGACAGCACAAGTTGGATCCTCCTCTTGAAGACACGGAAATTGTCTCAAATTACGTTCTGGCCGTTGCAAATGGCATTGCCAAGGTCATGTCCAAGATGGGCATTAGTACACTGCATAGTTACAAGGTCATTGCATTCTTTTTATATCTTATCTTAAAAATTGAAAATGTTTGTTTTGTTGTTAATTTTTTAAAAAGTTGCTTGAAGAAGTTATTTTTTTGATTTTTTAATCAGTTTCATCGAATTTCTGTCAACAACGATTTCTTTATAATCAACAATTTTTATTTAATTGATATTGTTTAAATCGTGATGATTGATTGGTGTGGGATTAAACGTATTTTTTGCTTTAGCTTCAAAGTTTGATCAACACTTGTTAAATGGATGTGATTGCTTTGTTGATGATGAACAGTTGATGCACAGATTGTCATGGAATTAGTTAAAGTTGCATAGTAAGGAATACGAGATAAGGATTAATTAATTGGCATTTAGGATGGTTGTGTGTGTTGTTTTATAAATGTACGACTCATACTTCCTTAAGTAATTACATTCATGATTTGCCTAGTAAATTCACATGTTGAACATTCTAAATTTGTGTATATAATTTAAATAATGAACCGTCAACATTAACGTGATAAGGGTGCCCAAATATTTGAGGCGGTTGGCTTAGCAGATGAAGTTATTCAGAAATGTTTCCCTGGCACTCCGTCAAGAATTGGAGGGACCACGTTTGCTATATTGGCTCTCGAGGTTCATCTTGCTAACAATTTCTTCATTCATTGAAAAAAACTTTAAAGTTTGTTTTGTATTTTTTTAACTGAAATAAAACGCTGAAACACGTTTAGGCGATGAACAGACACAACTTCGCGTTTGCAGATAGGGAATGTGACAACAAGTTGGTAACAACACCTGGATACCTGCATTGGAGAGGAGGAGGCGAGCAGCACATCAACGACCCCAAGACCATCGCTAACTTGCAGGTCTCTTCATGATTATTTCATTTCATTTGAGTTTTGTTAATAATCGTAATTATGATTGTTTTGAAAGTCGTTTTCATCACAAACAAACAAATGCAGGATGCCTCTCGTGAGAACAGTGTTGCAGCTTTTGAGAAGTTTGTGGAGACAGCCAACGAAAGTGTTCGTCATTGCACGCTAAGGGGGCAGATGGATTTCGTGTATGATGGAAGGCCACTGGACATCAATGAAGTTGAATCTGCAGCCAGCATCGTGAAGAGGTTCTGCACAGGTAATCATTGAGTGATTGAATGATTGAATGATTGATTGATTGATTGATTGATTGATTGGCTGGTTGGTTGGTTGGTTGGTTGGTTGGTTGGTTGGTTGGTTGGTTGGTTGGTTGGTTGGCTGGTTGGTAGGTCGGCCGGTCGATCGGTCGATCGGTCGATCGGTCGATCGATCGATCGATCGATCGATTGATCGATTGATCGATTGATCGATTGATCGATTGATCGATTGATCGATTGATTGATTGATTGACTATCAGATGTGCACGCTTTTTTGTTCACGTTAATGTTTTCGGTTACTTTTTAGCTAGTGTCACATCATTGTGGTTTGTATATAATTTGTTGTTATAAGTTATTATAAAATGACTGGCTAAATAACTTTGCAGGTGCCATGAGTTTCGGCAGCATATCTTATGAAGCGCACACAGCTCTTGCAATTGCTATGAACAGGGTGGGAGGCAGAAGCAATACAGGTTAGTCCAACTTTCTTCTTCTTCTTCTGAATATGCTACTTTATCGTTTCAAAGAATATTTTATAAGAATTAAAATTCAATGTGGTGATTTAAATTCATTCAGGTGAAGGAGGGGAGGACCCGTCGAGGTATTTGACCAACGATCCGAAGAACAGCACTCGATCGGCCATCAAGCAGGTAGGCTCCATCATTTATTCAGTGGTTTCTTTATTTATTCAATAGTTCTTTTTCTCTTTTGCGTTGAAACATTTGTCACTCAGATTATTTTAATGACGATCTTGCTTGTTTTATGTCATTGTGAATTTATCTTATAAAGTTTCTAAATCATACCATTGATCTTGAGCTATAAATTTGATATTTGCAAATAAAATAAAATTAATTGAATTAAAAGTCTAAGATTAGCGAGCAGCACAAATGTTATCACGCGGAACAGCTAGTTAGCTAGCCATTCAGTTTTCATTGTTTTATTTTCCATCTTAGGTGGCCTCGGGAAGATTTGGAGTGACGAGTTCCTACCTCTCCCACGCCGACGAGATACAGATCAAAATGGCTCAAGGGGCCAAACCAGGAGAGGGTGGCGAGCTTCCTGGATACAAGGTCTGTATCGAACATTCATTTCATTTGCAGTTTTCGTACTTGTATGTTAACTTATATTTGTATTAGCACATGAAGTACATGGAACTAAACTCATTGCTTATTATACGCTGTTTTTAATACAAAGTTTTTGAAATTTTTTTTTTATTTCACGGTAATAACTGACGGCTGCAGTTTGTTATTTGCAGATAACAAAGGAGATAGCAGAAGTTCGTAAGTCGATTCCTGGGGTGGGCCTCATCAGTCCCCCCCCTCACCATGACATTTACTCCATCGAGGATCTCTCACAGGTCAGTTTGCTTTGTTATTCCTCCTAACGTTGTTCCTATAGGGTACACAGAAGCAAAAAATTAATAAATATTCTTTCCCAAAATTCTCAGTTGATATACGACTTGAAGTCGGCCAACCCACAAGCCAGGATAAGTGTGAAGCTAGTAGCAGAAGTTGGTGTTGGCGTTGTGGCGTCGGGTGTTGCCAAGGTTCATGTCCATCTTTTTTTTTATTCATGTAAATTTCATTTTAGCGTCATTCTTTGCATGTTACGCACACATTATTAAATAGAAAAAGCCATAGACGTGTTATAAACGAGAAGTACTATTATTTTCTGAAAAATGATATTTAAAAATAAGTAAAACTCTAGAGTGCGCGTTATATATAAGGGCTATTTTTTTCTTTTTCTTTTATTTAAATGGCGATTTTATTTTTCTGATAATAAATTACTAGTTCTATTATATTCTAGTCTCATCTTGTATTTTCATTTAAACGAAAAACCAGGCGAAAGCAGGCCACATAACAATATCGGGCCACGATGGAGGCACAGGAGCGAGCAGTTGGACGGGCATCAAACACGCGGGCCTGCCGTGGGAGCTGGGATTGTCCGAAACTCATCAGACACTGGTCATGAATGATTTGCGGTCACGAGTAGTCCTTCAGGTTGATGGGCAGTTGAGAACTGGTTGGTTGGTTGGTTCTTCATTCTTGCCGTGATGATGATGTTAGTGCTGCTGCAGATGTGTATGGAGCCATGTTAGGAGCGGATGAGTTTTGATTTGCAACGGCACCCTTGATTGTTCTCGGATGTGTATAACGTTTTGGAAATGATGACGTCAAGGAAGTTATTTTGTGCTGTGGTCGAAAAACGATTTAAATTGCGATGTGCAGAAAATGCAAGCTAATAATAAGTTCTATTTTTTCGAAATTTCTCTAATATTCAATTGGCATAAGCATTTAGTAAAACACGAGCGCGTTGATGATTCACGTAGGTCGTGACATTGTGATTGGAGCCATGTTAGGAGCAGATGAGTTTGGATTTGCAACGGCACCTTTGATTGTTCTCGGATGCACCATGATGAGGAAGTGCCATCTCAACACCTGCCCTGTTGGCATTGCTACTCAGGTTCAATCATTAACTTTTGCACAATATAAGTTTAAGGCTTACTTTAATTTGGATAAATATTTTATGGTAAAAATTATATGACTTTGGCTTGGATCGATCCAATAAACAAATTTCAAATGTGTTTTTTATTCAATGAAAATTTGCTTAACAAGATTTGAAACTTCATTTAGTTTTTCCATGGAGCGTAATAAAATCATTTGCACAGGATCCAGTGTTGAGAGCGAAGTTCACAGGCAAACCCGAGCATGTGGTCAATTACATGTTTATGTTAGCAGAAGATGTTCGATCCATCATGGCCAAATTGGGATTCAGAACCTTCCAGGAACTCATCGGCAGAACTGACAAATTGGTCTTTTCTCCAACACCAACAATTGCAAAAGCTAAGCTCTTGAACTTTGAACCTATTCTCTTGAATGCTTTGACCTTGAGACCGAATGCGAACATAAGAGGAGGAACTGTACCGCAAGATTTCAACGTTACAGAAAAACTGGTCGGTCGTCATTGATATTGGCTGACAACTTACTTGAATTTTCAATTAAAATATTTTTTTCGTTGATGTAACCGAAATGTTAAATATTTTAGTCTAAAATTTAAAATTGTGTCAAGTTTTTAGAAGTGATTTTATGTCTTGTTGCGTAATATGAAATCAAACAAGAAAAGTTTAATTCATTTTTATGTACATTATTCCTCATTAACAAATGACAACTCGTCCATGCAATGTTTCTATGAACAGGACCACCAAGTTATCCAGCAGGTGCAGAGTGTCATCGACGGCAAGGAGCCATCCATTGAAATTAATCTAGCAATAACCAACTACCACCGAGCCTTTGGAGCCATGCTGAGCAACGTTCTGTCGCTGTTAGTCTTTTCATTCTTAACAAGTTATTGTCGTTCTACTTGAATCAGGAATGCGGAGATTTTCGTTGTGATATATTTTGATTACTCACTCTATAAAATATGTTTGTTCTATGGCTAGCGATCAAATTTTTGTTGAATATGTGGGAAATTTTTTTTAAACATGCAACACTTTAGCACAGGAATGTATATTGTTAGAAATTGACGTTGCAAACACATTAGGAAGTATGCAGAGGAGGGCCTGCCTGACAAGAGTATCGTGATAAAGATGGTTGGGTCAGCTGGTCAGAGCTTCTGTGCATTCCTCGCCAAGGGCATCTACGTGGAACTGCAAGGAGATGCGAATGATTACGTTGGAAAGGTTCGTGCATCTATTTGTTTGTTGGTTTGTTTGTTTGTTAATCCATATTTTGCTTTTAAATGATTTAAAACAGACAGCTAATATACGAATGCTTGTTTCTTGTTTTAATGCTGGCTTTGTTGAAATTTTTATTTTGAATAATACTACTTTTAGGCTCTGTTATTAAATACTATTTTTAATATTGCAACTTATCAAAGGTCATAATTAACATTTTCTGATCTCTGAATGTTTGTCTTTTGATGATTTGTCAGGGTTTATGTGGTGGTGAGATCATAGTTTACCCACCTAAGAATATGCCGAAAGAGTTTCAGTCGGAGAACAACATAATTGTGGGCAACGTTGTTTTGTATGGGGCAACGTCAGGCAAAGCATTCTTTAGAGGTCAGGCTGCCGAGAGGTTCTGTGTCAGAAATTCTGGGGCCATTGCTGTTTGTGAGGTCAGTCGAAAACCGCATAATTAAAAATGTTCAACTACAAAAAGCTAATTTTCATTATCTACAATAGTCTCATTGCCGTTTTGAAGTTGACTTCCAATGAATAATTTGCTTGTTAGGGCTGCGGTGATCACGGATGTGAGTACATGACGGGAGGTCGAGCTGTTGTGTTGGGCATTGTTGGTAGGAACTTTGCAGCTGGCATGTCTGGCGGGCTTGCCTTTGTGTATGATCGAGAGAAGCAGTTCAGATCAAGGTTCATGTTTTCAATTGTAATTGTATGGATTGCGCAAAAATTTTTATCTTCTATGGTTGAGTTCTGGTAGTTAAAGTTTGCCATTTAAAGTTTCTTCGGAAAAAATTTTCAACTTTTTGATTGGTTTTTTGCTATCTGCATGCGACGTCGGCATTCCTTGACAAATTGAACATTTCGATAAATTGTTGAAGATGCAACTTGGAGATGGTAGCCCTGGAGGACGTTGATGAAGATGAGGATAAAAAGTGGTTGGAAGATATTTTGAAGGAGTTTGTTCAGAAGACGGGATCGACGCTGGCCTCATCTTTGCTGGACAACTGGGAGGCCTCGTTGCAGGACTTCATCAAAGTTTGTGCACTATCTTCTGTTTACTTACACTGCTCCCCTTTCCTTTCCATGAATTGAGTTGCTTTTTTAATTGTAATTTTGTATAATACCATTTTGTGTGCCTGTCACAAAATTTTTACTTTTTTCTAGAGAATGTAGAGTTATTTTATAAACCTTGGGTTTTTTAGATTTGAATAATCTTACAAACAAAAAATATTGTTATACCTTGAACACATACATTGGACTCACGAATTAAAAAATGCTGGAAACTCGTGTTGAACATCCTGCGAGCAGGTCTTCCCACACGAGTACAGACGCGCACTTGAAGAAGTTGCAGCTGAAGAGGAGTTGAAGAAAGTTGAGGATGAGTTGAGGATGCAGATGGAGGATGAGGAGATGCAGTACAAGGAGGATAATGTCATTCTCGAAGATGTCCTCAAAACGAGGAAGGAAGTGGTCAGTCTGCCGTTTGTTTTTATTCTTTTTTTCTACATTTTTTCTAAATTTTTATTTCTATGATTATCTTTCCTTGTTCATCTTGTTGTTTTTTAATATTTATTGATAACATTCACAATTAAATATATCCGCATAAGCATTGTTTAAATTAAGACAATATTGATTTTTTTAAATTATCAAGCGAATTAGAACTTTTGAAATATTTGAAATCACTACGTACCACACACAGCATTCAGTTTGTTTTTCGGTATGTTATTAGGAGTGATTCAAGGGGGCGCGAAAGATAGATAGATAGCTAAATATTGGTTACGTGTTAGTTAGAAGCATGCTTTCTTGTTAAGATTATTGGTCTTCCTTATTACCATGTATGCAATTTTCAGTTTCAGGAATTTTTTTCTTCTGCGTTCTCATAATTTTCAGTTTATTTATTTTTTTATTTCACATCAGGACAACGAGCTCGCACAAGATATTGAAAGTTTGGTATGGATATATGCTTAGTCTTTCATTTAATGTTCTTTAAATTATTCAATTTTTCATTGTTTGTTTTAGTTTGCGTTAAATTTTTTTTATTATAGCACTTTGACTTTATTGCCAAATAAACGAAAATAGTAGTTAGTTATTGAAATAAAGTGTTGTTGATATTATTTAGAATTTATTTAAAATCTTATTTAAAGACTTGTTAAACATTATCAGTATTATTTGTTAGTCTTTCAAAGTTGATGTATGTTAATTTCGTTTTTTAAACTATACACCGGTGTGTTTTTTGCGCATTCAAAATCAGAATATTTTGCATAACGTTTTTCGCCAGCCAAATTTCAAACCTAAAATCTAAACAAACTCTACCGTGAAAGAATTTGTAGAGTAAGAATAAATGTTGCTGTTATACTAGTGTGTTGTTAGAAAATGCTACTGGCTTCTTAGTTTCCTGTTTCGTTATTTATTGCCTAAGTTTTACAACGAAGTTGGATGGATTATGTACCAGTGCTACAGATCCTCTACACTATGATATCATTGAAGTGCCAATGTCTGTGGTGTTTTATTTTGAAATAATCATAAAAAACTCTGTATTTTATCATAGAGAGTATGTTGCTTTAACGAATTGCTCTTATTACATGCATGCGATCGTGATAAACTAACAGGCTGGCGTCGAAGTTATAATTATAAATTTTTAACAATTATTGAAATGGAAGATAATTTTTTTTTTGTAAAAAACGATCATAATGTAAGAGCTTGCATGGACGTGAAATAATCTTAACAGGGCCAGTTGATGTTAGGAGCAGACGATCTCGCAGTTGATTTGAATGAGGAGAACATTGAAGAGAAGACAGGAGCCTACCAGGACATCACCGTTGATAATGGACACGTCGATGACGTTGATGATATCGAAGAGATCATTCCAGACTTCATCAAACATCAACTTGACAAGAAAAAGTTTGCTTTCTTCATTCATTTTTTTGTGATAAAAAGTCTATAACAAGGTTTTTTAAAGAGCGAAACGTGACATTACATAAACTTTTATTCCCCTCTCCCCTTGTCACAAAGTTTCATAAAATTCTTGACTCCATCCCCAATGCAAAGCGCGTAACCTTTATAGACAGCCCCGTTAAATGTAAAGAAATTTGGTCGAAAATTTTCTATGATATGACACTTATTTGGTTTACTTTTTTTCTATTGTTCACTGAATTTATTAATTATTGTTACTCTTGGTAGCAAAAATATGTTTTTTCAATTCAACTAATACAACTAAATTAAACATCCATCGAAACATCTAAAACAGAGGTTTCGTGAAATACAAGCGATCCAAGAACCAGTACAGGAAGGTTGAGGAGAGGGTGAATGATTGGAATGAGATATACAATCATGCTGGCGTGCAAAAGTACATACAAGTTCAAGCTGCCAGGTCGGTTCCACTCATCATTTCATTTTTCAGTTGTTAAAGATTTTCTTGTACAAAATATGATGCACTGATATTTTCTTTATATATGATTTTTTTGGCGTCTGTCTAAATCTTAATGAATTAATAATCCAGGTGCATGGACTGTGGCGTTCCATTCTGTCAGTCCGATCATGGTTGTCCTCTCGGCAACATCATCCCTAAATGGAATGATCTGGTCTTCAAAGTTGGTTCTTATTTTATTTATTCAAATAGGTTTGGTATTTTAATTTCAAATTAATCAAAATCAAGTTTGTACAGCAGACTTGTATCAAATTTGGAAAAAAATTTCAAGAGATTTTATTTCAAACTCTTTAAGTTCTAGCCGTATAATTATAAAAAACACTGATGACATTACATTGAACAGCAAAACTGGAAGGAGGCATTGGTGACACTGTTGCAGACCAACAACTTTCCTGAGTTTACAGGTCGCGTGTGTCCTGCACCTTGCGAGGTTTGTGTCGTTATTCTTGTTGCCGCTGCTGTTTTGTATCATTTACGTGCTTTGTGTGTGTGTTTGTGTGTGTATGTGTGTGCGCGCGTGGGTTTGGGGTCTGTCATTGCTCTTGCTATATGTACTCAGTTGCAGGCAAACACGATTTTGATATTTATTTTCAACCTCATAAACCACATTATAGTAATTTTCTAGTAGTATATCTATAGACCCGATTTAGACAATAGACACAATTTAGATAATAGACACGTAGTTTTTTTTCTCATAACGTAGGGTGCGTGTGTTCTGGCCATCAACGAACCTCCAGTAACGATAAAGAACATAGAGAACGCCATCATCGACTACGCTTGGAACCACGGATACATGGTACCTGACCCTCCGCAGGACTTCACCGGCAAGCAAATTGCCATCATTGGCAGTGGACCTGCTGGTTTGGCCGCCGCTGCGCAACTCAACAAAGTCGGTAGACGTCGTTGCTCATTCTGTGATTTATATGCATTTTTTAATCAGAAGTTTCAAGAATGAAGAACTTTAGCGTTAGATTAATTACGGTTGTGGACGATTCGTCGTACTTCTTGCTTGATTTTATATCGTCGGATTCTACACGCACACAGGCTGGTCACAACGTGGTTGTATACGAACGCAACGACGAGATCGGAGGCCTACTTAGGTACGGCATTCCAACTATGAAGCTAAGCAAGGAGGTATGCATTTATTCTGCTCCTTTGTTTTTTTATCATTCCACCTTTTCGTTTTCAGTTTAAATTGTATTCGTCATTTTCAAACATCACGAATAACTAATCTGGAGTATATCACGTGCACAAACAGTTCTAAATGGCTTACAAACTGTTCTTAAGAGCATACGAGAGCTTTTCAATAACTTTTGCTTACTGAGAAGCTTTAATAATGCTGACGGTCAAGAAGTTTTAACAATATTAAAAAAAAATTAAAAAATAATTATAGTAATTTTATACAGTGATTGTTCTTTTTGTGAAATCTTGGTTCTTTGGTTTTGGAATGATTCTGAAATATTTTTATAAATTAGGGATAATCTTTTTTAACCAAATGAAGGTGGTGCAGAGAAGGATCGATCTGATGGTGGCTGAAGGAATTGAATTTCAAACAGGTGTGCATGTTGGCAAAAATAAATCAATCAGAGAACTTGTCAACTTCAACGATGCCGTCATTCTCTGCCTAGGATCCACTTGGCCCAGGGATCTGCCAATTCCTGGTTGGTTGTTCAAGTAATCTTTCAAAGTAAAGGCACCATGTTGCCATATCTTTAGTTCAATTTGCTCTTATTAATTTTGCAAAAGTTTGGTTCATTCATTTTGTTGATTACGTCTGCGAAATTTTCCACTGAATATTTACGAAGCCAAGTTGCGTCGTCGAAACATGAACAAATGACCCAAGTCTTGTCCGTAAAAACTTTTACTTATTACTCTGGTTCTATAATTTCTTGACAAGATGCTTGTTAATGAATATATGCAGGCCGTCACCTCAATGGAATTCATTTCGCTGTATCATATCTGGAAACCTGGCAGAAGAAGCAGACAGCAAAGGAGGTTGATTATTTACCTCTGTATGCTAAAAATAAGAACGTCATTGTCATCGGGGGTGGAGACACTGGCAATGACTGCATTGGAACATCCCTCAGGCAGGTTTGTTTCACTGCACCAACAATCGGAGCATGCATTTTTACTATAATTTTTATTTATCATTTTTTAAATCAATTTCTACTGAATGATTAAAATATTGAATTAAATTGTTTTGGTTCTCGCGTTATATAAAAACTTATACCTTTGTGTTAGGGAGCCAACAGCATCATAAGTTTTGAAATTAATTCAATGCCCCCGAAAACGAGAGCGAAGGACAATCCATGGCCCACTTGGCCCTTTATTTTCAGGATCGATTATGGACATGCCGAGGTTCAAAACAGAACTGGCAAGGATCCAAGAATATTTAACATTATGAGCAAGGTAGAAAATCTTGGAGGGGTGGTTCTATGTTGCTTCACAACAATATTTTCGGTGTCATATATTTTATAAGTTAATGAATTTCAAATATTTATTTTAAAAATTAATTCAGGAATTCGTGGATGATGGGAACGGCAATGTGGCTGGCATAAGAACCGTGAAACTGAACTGGACGAAAGATGAGCACGGAAGATGGAAGATGGAAGAACAACCCGGTTGGTTGGTTGATGAGTTTTTTCGTCGCAGTTTTCCGTAGTGATGCATGTATTTAGAGTTTTCAACACTTTAGTTGATGACCATCAATGTGGCGACTAAATTATCTAATTTTCGTCATGACATAAAAAAGAATTAAACCTACGCTAGCTGTTAGATATATTTACATAGTCATTTTTATACCACATTGATGGCTAAGATTCGGAGGTCACCTATCCATGCGACATTGTCTTGTTGGCAATGGGCTACCTCGGACCAGAGCAAGATTTGTTGGATCAGTTGGCGCTGAAGAAGGATTCCAGGTCTAATATTGAAACTCCGATGGGCAAGTATTCGACCAATCATCCAAAGGTTTACGCTGCGGGAGGTTAGATGACATCCATTTGCCCCTCTGCAATTTTTAAAAAATACGTATTCAAAATACATAGTGTATAAACATATATGCCAACTTGTGTACAAGTTTCTAAGCCATTGTAATTCTTCAAATTTCTATTTTGATTAAAAAGTTGTTAGCTTACTTTACTGGAATTGATCTGCTCACGTAATTTCATAACTCCGTGAATTAAATAAATCAGTCTTATTGCCTCGAATTGCATATTACCTTTTTGTATTTTTCCTTCCATTATAAATATTATAAATTCACCACTACGTTTGCATACATAATTGCAGATTGCAGGAGAGGTCAGTCTTTAGTGGTGCACGCCATCAACGAGGGACGGCAGGTAGCCAGGCAGGTTGATTTCGACTTGATGGGGAGGACTTCCTTGGCTGGGATCGGAGGGGTCGTCCAGTCGACCAGAACTGCAGAGTTTCTCTTGGAGCAGTCTATGTGGAGTAGGCCTATTAAGTACGACATCGACACTATGTAGGCGACGACTGTCTGACTGACTGGTGATAATATTTTTGCAACATTATTTAGTTCGTACACGCATTGGGTTCTTCATATAATGGGTATTGTTTGTTAGTAGTTATTATCAACTTTACTTACTTGTAATAAATAACAATACGCGACTCTGTAGTTACGAGAAGCGTTTACGTGATTAAAGTAATTATTAATATATTTCCTCGTTGTTTTTGTAGCTAGTGGGTCGGTCAGTACTATTTTTTCTAGCAACAGCACACACAATATCACATTTTTTGTTCTTCTAGAACAGTTGAAACGAGTCATTTTTTAATGTGTTCGTCGTCAGTTGAATTTTAGCTAGGATAAATTGTTAGTGTGGAAACCGTATGTTCTCGCGTATAACTGATGCTGTTTCCTTCTAAATTTTAAACTTTTCAGTTTGTTCTATTTTTTATGGAATCTCACAATGGCTAACATATATTTTAATCTGTTTGGTGATTGTTAATTTCTGATTTTGAGTTTAACTTTACGTTTCAAACTGTCGTTTTGTGGGTACTGATTTTATAAATTTAATTCTATCCATTGTTCATCTGATTAGTTCTTTAACTGCATGACAATGTCAACTTTCATCAATTTTCTAAATTTATTTATTTATTTTTTTTTTCATTATTTTACTTTTGCTTCCTGTGGTTTGTTCATTTGGATAATTTTACGTAAAAATTGTAAGTAACGTTGTATTCTGGTAGAACTGTAATCTATAAACATTCATCTTATCGGCGTGTCAGTCGCCTGATCTTCTTCAACTTTTTGTTTTCAAATTTTTTTTTTTTAGGTTAAATATTTTTAATCAAATTCGAATGTCATTTAGTCGTCTAACCTATGTGCATACGTTTATGAAAAACTATTAGCGTCATTTTCAAGTTACTACTAATAACTTAATACAAAATCTTCCAAATGATCTTTTTATTTAGTCTCAGGAAGTTTTCGTGGAAGACTTTATAGAATTGAAATATTTTGTAACCCACCAACCTTCAAAGGTATGTACTTACCAAGTTAACAAGACCTACTACTAACAATTGCGTTACTATAATTTGTTTCCTTTAACTTTCCTGCTTAGCCACACCTGTGTGAGCAAACATTTTTATATTTCTTCTTATGTCGAATAACTTTGTCACTCATCTCGTCAATGAATTTTCTTTTGTTCGCTCATTATCATTAAATCAAGAACTTTCAAAACTTTTCTCTCTCGTTGATTTTCTTACCCTCTCTCACTTTTACAAACATTCCAACACATCTCCACATATTAAAATAGTCACCAACCAACTTACTAACGTGTTTACCGTCGTAACAGATTCTTAAAATTTGGCCACACCCATTTGAGCATCTCATGATTTTAGTTATGTATTAATCATTATTCATTAATCTATGTTTGTATGCATTGAATTGTTTTCGTTATTTCTAATTTTTAATTTTACTTTAATAATTAATTGTTTTGTTGATTTAGTTTAAATTGACTATTTCCTTTCCAATCAATTAAATACAACTTTTGTTAGATTGTATGTAAGTAACTAAATTGTCTTCTTACTTAACTAAATTGATACGGTAACTAACAACCTCTGCAATATGTTATTCAGTTCAGCTTCGGAATGTGTTTATTAACTTACTTATTAATTATACATTATACATACATAACTTACTTATTAATTATACATATATCTGAAGAATGTGAAATGAGAATGAAACAGTCAATCAAGATGATGACTGGTCAAAAACCTCTGACAATTACCATTAAGAACGTCATCTGATTCAATTTACTGACCATCTCACATCTTTAGTTATAAATACTGTCGCACGTTCTTCAGCTTCCAAATATTTTTTTACCAAACTTATCCCTTTATCTTGCCTTGTTTTGTTTCTTAAAATTAATAAGACAAATTACATCTAGATAAAATTATCTTAACGTTAATTTATTGAGCCATTCATTCGTTCATATGTAGACGGACAGCATTCAGTATTTCAATGTTTACTCGTGTAGATAACCTTCTGTATTTGACAATATAAGTGTTGTATTTTTTAGCAGAGTAATTGTATTTGTGTGTTGATTACCTAATAACTAGAATTCAATGAAACGCGAATTATATCTGAATTAATTTCCTTTAAATATTATAATTTTATTTCTGTCCACCTAAATAGTGCTGCTCTGACTGACCTCTGATTATTGCATAATTGACATTTACCATGAAATATGATGTAATTTTAGAAATTTATTACGTAGCGACGCAGTTTAAAAATTCAGCCTATACCAGGTGAGCACTGATTAAAAACTATAACTCCTTACGCGGGTCTGCAATTGACTTGATTGTGAACGTAACTGACAGAAGCACAATAAAACTTGTTAGCATTGAGATTTCATGAATGATGCCACAAAAATTAAATACGTGGAAACTCAAAAACTTCATTTTCGTTGTTTAATGTAAGTAATTTTTTTTTTAGATTTAACGTGATTTAATTAGTTTTGTTTTGTTCAAGTTTCTATATATTTTTCTTTTAACATGTCGATGAAAATTATATGGTGAGAATGTTCAATTTTTTGTTGAAATATTTAGTCATGGTTTTAAAATGAAAGCTTCTTTAATTAAATTCTTACGTTGCATGAGATTATTGTCTTACGATCGTTGAGTTGTAATTGTTAATACATTTATAACTATATATTCTTTTTGGCTGGTTACGTCTGGCTGGTTGGTAGATGGACAGACTGTCGCACGCGGTCTAGGTATAAAAAAAACCGATTAGTGATTTTTTACAACTTAATTTTGAGCTTTCGATATAGAATCAGAATTCATGATTTGATTAGCACAAATAGCATCTTGTTCTGGAAAATTGCATAATTATTACGCTACCCTGAGTTCATTAAAAAAGGTGCTATCACCGTGGTCTCTTCATATTTTTGAACGTGAACTAAAAAAGCAGTCTTTACAAATTCGTTGTTTTGAAAGATGTAGGGTAGCGTTAATTGAGGCCTAATTATTGTTAACTTTTCGAAAAAGCGATATAAATGATTAAAACTCGCTTGTAAATAATTTTGTGGATCGAAATTTCCATTGCAGTCAAAGGAAGGAATGGTGACCTAGGTATCAATTTAATATCATGAATGAGTGCTTGAGCTCGAATGATGTACTCAGAAAATACAAATTAAGATACAGTAGCTTATCTCGAGGTCACCATGCCTGTATTAAAGCATTTGAGTTTTCCTCCGACGTGGAAAGTGTTTTCCACGATTTTAAAAATTGAACATAGCAAGGAACTGATTAAGATTAGGGACCAGTGTTTCGCTTTTGCCTTCCATCGAACGATGCGTGTGGAGGGCAGAGAAAATCAACTAAGAAAAGTATAAAGCGTTGGTGGTTTTCAGCCTTAATTCAATCAATCTTTTTTTCAACCTTCAATTTTATTTTAACCAACAACGTTATTTTATCAACGTTTACGATGTAACACACTTAATAGAGAAGCGTTGTATAACGCGAACCTCGAATGGTCTCTGTATTACTTTACCACGTAAGTTCTGCGAAAAGTATTACGAAACAGTGCAGAAATTTGGGGAAAAGATATCAGAAGACAACTAATGAACTATTGTTATTATTCGAACTGTGCATCGTAAGTAATGCTGAAGCGAAAAGCTGTAACAAATGGTTACAAATAATAATATTGTTCATTCAATATCAAATGACAGGTATACATTCAGACAGAGGTTATAAAAAACAGCAGCAGAAATACTCCCAAACGTCTTTAAATGCTGCAATTTAAACTATTTGATCATAAATTTGAAAATAAATCATTAATAAAAAGAGCAAACCCGCAATAAAGTGAAATACGTTTTTGAATTAATGTAATAAAAAATCAATTGTTGGAGCCTAAGCTAAAAATGAAATAAAAACCTTTGCATTATTCGATCAACGATTATTTATGAACCGCAAAATGTCAGCACCAACAAACAAACAATTTAATAAACAAACGTTTCAGAATAATTGAAAAGATTTTTAATTCGGCATAAAAATTGCTTATGGTACGTAATAAGGAAGATTTCTCGTAAAACACGTAAATACAATAAAAGAAAGCAATTACAAATCGTTTTATTGATGTCTTAATCAGTCATGATTATCAAAAACTTCATGATACGAATCATAAAAATTATAGCAATCATTAAGATGATTCAAGGTGAATAAAAAAACATCTCTCCTGGTAGACTAGAGGCTATGGACTGATAATAATAAAATCAAACTTAACTAAGTTTGCTACAAAATTTCGAACTACGTTTGTCATGTCTTGTCAAACTGTTTAAATAAATATGTAACTGATTTCAGTGGAAAATGTATTTTTATAATAATTTTACCGTCAAAGCAATAATCAAAAATATAATTAGATCACTAAAAAATTTAACAGTTGTCATCACTCAAATCGTTTTCATGTTATCCTGTTATATCATCAACAAAAACATTTAAAATCGGTGAATAAATTATTTAATATTATTCAAATTAAATGGCTGGCGAGTAAGCTCTGAAAGTGAATGAATAATCATTTTTAACTTCTTAACTAGATACAAGTACTAATTGAGTACGCTCACCTCATGAAACATGTGAAACAGGCGTACATGCTAGCTAGAAATAACACAAATCATGTTTAGAAACGGTCCAATTTTAATTAGAAATAATTAGCAGACAACAATATAAAACATGCTAATTAGCAATAAATTAATAAATAAATTAATTAATTAATATCATCTTCATTTTTCAATCATAGATGCATATAGGCATGATTAAAAAACAATTTATTGGTAATTCGGTTGCAAAAATGGTGTTTTTATGCAAAAGATTTTATGAAATTTAACGAAATTTTACAGAAGACATTGCAATACCATGATTGATGGCTGATGAGGTCACTCAATATTGTAAATCACTTTCCTAATAAAAAATTAGAAAAATGTGTGGATTAACGTTTTAAAAAAGTGTGGATTAACAAACCACTGAAGATATTTGCGATCACAAAAAAAATTCTTAAAATTTTAAAACATCATATAAATGAAATTTCGTTACAAAAAGACAACAAATGGAATGATTGCACATAGAGCGCACGCACGCACGCGCGCGCACACACACACACACGCAGAGAGAGAGAGAGAGAGAGAGAAAGAGAAAAATATATTTTAAATAATGAGAGCATTACCCTTTCTCACCCTTCACCCATTCTCACCCTTCATACAAGACAATCTCGCGTCATGCAGGTAGATTGGAGGTATGCTAATATCAATAGAAGCGGCCTAATTAATAATTTTGCACTACGCACAACAATTTCTGAAAGGCAGTTAAAAATGTTTGTAAAAACTTCAGGAACTACCTACAATAAATAGTGAAAAAAGTTTTTTTGAATAAAATGAGTTAGATAAATATTAATGGAATAAACAAAAAAATCTAATTTTATATATGAGTTATAGTAACGTAATCTAAATTTAATCTTTCCAACATGTGCAGTGCCAGTTAAAAAGCACACGTAACCGTGTTAACGAATGAATGGATGAATGAATGAATGACAAACTGTTGCAAAGAAACATTTCTAGCAAATAATAAGAGGCAGTTGCTTCAAATTCAACCACGCAAGAAACTTCCCGCAATAAATTGAATAAACAACATAAAAATGGATTGAGGCATGCGGTCGGTGGCTAGTTTCATTCTGCAGGGCATATCAAAGCGTCTCTGGTTCATCAACAGTTAAACAGTTACATCTATCAAAAGTATAATGTAAAAAAAATTGACGACGAAATGCGATGTACACTTGGAGGGAGGAGAGGGATCAAGTTGGTGAAGATTGCTGCTGTATCGCTGAAGGAGATTCGCGTAGCTGGGATGACGGAGTGACTGAGTGCAGTTCGGATTGAGGTGAGTGATGAGGAGGAGGTATCTTGATTGATGATGATGCTGCTGCTGCGGCTGTAGGCGAGGCGGGCAGTGACGCCGATGAAGACTGCGATTCCTTTTTGATAAGACCAAGAAATACTGATGTATCGTAAATCTGTAGAAAAAAAATAAATTTTTTAATAATTCATCGTTCATTCAACTAAAAGCCTAGCTTTTAAACTAATGCACCTAAGCATCGGCGAGGATAATGATTACTAATTTATCAACAAATCTATCCACGTCAATCAAGTTGTACCTGCTTAAGGTGTTCCATGGATTTGATCCTGGCTTGCCTCATCAGGTCCTCCTGTCCCTTCAAGACCCGAATGTTCCAGGCGTAGTTCTCCAACGTCTGCATTCAAATGGAAGAAAAATAGAGAAACAAATCGATCGAACCGTTGAAAATAAATTGAATTTCACCGACACATGTCAACAAAATATATCAACCCATAAAACTTCGCCGAATTCAGATAAGTATTACTTATACAAAGTTTAAAAAATTTACAGGAAAAAATTTTAAATATTGCATGTACTTTGTTGAGTTTTTTTCCTTTAAAACCGTTGGAAGCTGCCATATTGCTGAGGTTGTCGTGGTAAGTCATAGCTGACGATCTGCAACTGCTCAACTGGTTTCAATAGGAAATGTTAACTAATTAAATAACTCCTCGACAGTTAGAACTCAACTAAATTCCACGCACCATCATCTATTTATTGAATTTATTTTTGAGCTGCAAGTGGACGAAAAACAAAATTTTAAAATAAAATGATTTGTTGCACATACATGCATGTGTCTATGTATGCAACTGACCTTGTCAATAATTTTGTTTGCTTTCTCCTCTAAATTTTTGTTGTCCATCACGAACTGAATGAATAAATAAATACATAAAAAATAAATAACAATCTGAGAATTCTATGATAGGCTATATGTAATCATAAGATATATAATAAAAATATCAAGGTCAAAAGATTGAAAAAAATTATCGACTCAGTTTGAAATAAAAAAACCAATCCGACCATTTCAAAAACGGCGAGAGTTTTCTTAATGACGTCCGGCACAACTCCTGTCACATTCAGCATGGGGCACTGCAAATTATTCAGACATGCATATAATTATTATTTTGGTAGAATATTTAACTACAATTTGTTGAAACTTTAAAGCCTTATTTCACTTTTTAATTCGGCTAATAAATGAGAAATAACAGACAGACAAGCAGACAGACAGACAGAGAGACAGACAGACAGAAACTCAGACACTCAACAGTAAAACTGAAACCGACCCCATCAACAACGTTCACTTCCAGACTGACACTCTCCCCTAAATTTTGAACCCTGACGAACAGCTGCCTGACAGTTTGTTTGATGTTGCAGATGGGTGCCAGGCCACACAACTCCCTCAACATGACAAACGAACTGTGGACTCTGCTCGACAGCTCACACGCTTCTTTCCGGGATAGTGACGAAGACTGTCGTCAAAAAATAGTACAAGTTTTAAATTAAGAGGTCTAAAAATTATCATCATATTTAAATCACTGGCATCTTGTTGTTTGAAGCTTCAATGGAAATAAGAACGAAGACAGACGAACATGTAATTGCATCGAAATGATGATAACAGTAACAAACCCGGAAGACATCATCAACAGCCTTCAAACCAGTCAACTTGAGTTGGATGAAGTCCTCATCAGCGAACCTCTTCTTGCTCAGCAGAGATCCTCTACGACTTGCTTTCTGATTTCAATATGAATTAATCACTAATAACTTTTAAAAAATTACTGTTTTCTATATTATCTTAATTTGAATGGTTTAAAAACAAGGTCTCACTGATTTCTCCTTCTTGTTGTCGATGACGATATGTACGAAGAGAAGACAATCCTTGATGCAATCTCCTGAACTGGACTTGAGAGGTAGGTTCCTGTAGCCGGGCAGCAGACAGCAGGCTGGTATCGTGTGCTGGCCTGAGATCATTAAACAAGAAGAAAAATTATGTAAATGCATTTTAGACTATGCTTTCGATTACAGCTTTGTGCGATTTAGTAGTTAATGACGGAAATAAATTTGAAGTAGAGAGGACAGACCTATGAACTCATCACCGATGAACTCGTCGTCCAGCACAGCAAACCTGACCATAGCCATCTCCATTAGATTCAACTCAAACTCAAAACTCTCGTCATAGATGGGGCCGACTGCAAGGTAGAAATTAAATGAAATGAAAATAACGTTTGTTATTCATGATGTGCATTGAACGAACCTGTAGCAGTTGATGTCTCCATGTGTTGAATGGTTCGTGTTCTACGTTCCATGCAATCAGCTGGTATGCCAATAATCTCAATGGTAACGTAGGGGTCAAGTGTCATGCTCTTCGAAGCTGCTCCCTCTGGTTTTGGCAAGTTCTGAGCGCTTATTATCTGTGGGGAGGAGTTGAAGCAATATAAAGTTATCGCAAGCCAAAACAAATATTATTACGAAACTATCATCTCGTTTTTAAAACATTTCTCATCATAAACGTAAAATTACATCAATTGAACCCAATTATAATAAACATGTGATGAAACGTGGAACGGTAGATTTCCACCTTAATGTGTAAAATTTGGGGAGACACGCCGGGAATGACCCCCTTGGAGTTTGCCTTGAACGATCCAATCTTCTCCCGCATGATCATCGGCTTCAGGACGTAACCACAGGAACCATTCTGTGAGAAGAGGCCGTCATTGAGGTCCATCATCACCCCACAGGTCTGGTAGTTCAAGGTCACTGTCAGGGAAGTTAAGGCTTAATTAATTTAAATTTAATTAAGGTTACAATCTAGAAACTAGTAAATTATGCAAATTAGTGCTCTTACAAAATGTTAACACTCTTCTGATAAATTTGCCAAAAATTTTAGTTGAGAAAAGAAAAGAGACCAAATTGGCAGCCACAGTTCCAAAGATCCTGAGGATGATAATTACTTGAGTCCAACCTCATCTTGTTCGGGAAGACCAAGGACAAACAAGTCTGCGTAGTGTGGTGACGACGATGATGATTATGACGATGGCGACCGTGAAACTTTTGATTTCATCAAACAAAAAAATTCGACCAGATTTTCGACATCACATGATAATCATCAGTCATCACATTATCATATCCGCCATAAACTGCGATTCAACTTCCTGGCGTTGTTAACAATAACAACCAATCATCGAAACAGCAGCACGATAACAAGTAGATGGGGAATGCTTCGTTGAATGTGAACAAACTAAAAACTAAGCAACCAATGAATAAATTAATTAATCAATCAATCAATTAATTAGATGACTTTGTTCATCTGGATGAGTTCCTCGTGATGAGTGTTGGCAAGTTTCAATGCAGTTGTCTCGTTTAGCGTCAATGCTGTCGTCGGATGGCTTACTGAGGCAATAATTATAAAAAATATTTCAAATAATAATAATAACAATAACTATAATTAAAAATTATAATAATAAATATTATTATTATTATCATTATTGTTTGATTGTTTTGCTGTTAAAAGTTCCGTCAATGCATACGACACACGGGCGTTTGTTTACACTTGTTCTCATGTACAAATGATCACTTGTGTGAAATATGAAATGAACGATCTTGTAAGAAGTATCATGTATTGACAAATTCAATACGTTTATTTTACAACAAAAATGTAAACATTTTACACGACAGGGAAGTTCTTAAACGTCTGTCTGAAACTCGATGAATGACACAGGAGTCGCCTGTATAGTCTTTAGAGTTACTTGTGACACAAATTTTAAATGCAACTAAGTAAGCGAGGACCGATTTGTAACCTGTCAGAGTGAGAAATGAAAACGAAAAAGAGTAAAAAAAGAAGATAAAACCTACGCTGAGAATTCATGAGAGAAACAGGGGAAGATATGAGGGAGTCGTCAAAATACTTCTTAAACTTTCGCGACGATTTTGAGAGGTAGACTAGGCTGGCGAGTTCTTTGCATAACTTCCTCCTTACAGGTATCAAGTCCTGTCGATGGAATAATAAAAATTGCAGAAATTTCAAAACATCACAACCGAAAAAAAAATCGATCCTGTAAAATTTACATTCGCTAATTAATTACCTTCACGCCAAAATTATTCTAAAGCCAAAAAACATTCATAAATGATAATGCGCCTCAGTCGCTTGCCATGGCGCTATATAAAATGACATTATCCTTATTATTATTATTAAAAATAAATACCATGGCTAAAGTTGCCTGCGTTCAATAGCTAACTATCAGTGCATGCACACCCATCACAAAATAATAATAAAAATAATAATAATAATAATAAATAGTAATATATGTACATTGTACAATCATTCCATGTGATGCGTCTGCAAGCGATCAAATTAAAAGTTACACATCATTAAAAATGATAAGTAGTTAAGTAGTTACAAGCAAACAACAGAAACAGCAGCGGCAAAACTACTATTATTCTTTAATTTAATTTATCTTTTTATCTTTTTTTTAACAAAATAATTATCTCGATTTAGTTTCATTAATAAACTTTTTAATATCTACGTATTAATATTTTTAGTTACAATTTCTATTTAAATTCATTTCTGACTATTTTATGTACTGTCTGACAGGTTGAAACATTTTCCGCGTCAGACCGACAGGGAATAAAGTTAAAAGAATAAAAATAAAAAAACAACAACACAACAACAACAAAAACATAACAACAACACAACAACAACAACAACAACAACAACAACAACAGCAAAAACAACACCCACCCTGTCAGCTTTTCTACTGTTAGTCTCCTCGTCCTCCACGTTATCATCATTATCATCGTCGTCGCCGTCATGCTCGTAATATTTCCCATCAACATCTTCATCCTCATCATCATCAACATCATCATTGTTATCGTCATCATCATCACCGCCTGACGACAATTTCTGGCTCTAGATTTTCAAAAAAATTCAAATGATATTTGTACGTCATGTATCATTTGATATTTCGAGGGTGCGTTATAGAAATTTTTTTTAATTTTCTATTTTTATAAACCGAAATTCAAATATTATGAAATTGAAACTGCCAAGCTAAACACACACACACACCACACACACACACACACACACACACACACACACACACACACACACACACACACACACACACACATTCACACAAACAGATCATCATCACAAATTCACGACAGCAGATGAGTGAGTGAACAAACACAACGTTCCTCCATTAATACGTCATAATGAACATACCAATGGTATGCAGTGCGGGTTAACAACCCAGATGAATGTCATCCGACATAGCGACATGAATGAAATCAATAACATGTTGCGTGTGAATGCATATGAATTGAACATGCGGGGAATTAAACAGACCTCATTAGCTTTTGCTTTATATCAGAGGTTTAAGCTTACATTCAACATGAATAGATTAATAACTCAAAGCACGATAGATTATTGAATATTGGATGATAATTGTACCTAACATTTAGGAAATAAAATTTAAAGTCTTTACAACGCATTGATTCAAACATCATTAATGTCCAACAACCAGGTTGATGATACGAACAACAAACTAATAGAAGAAGCATCATGTATGCAAGCAAACGCAAACCAGAATTAATATTCTGTGTTTGAGGACGGTAGGTGATGGCAGATGGTGACTGTTGAATGTTGTCATGTCTCCATCCTTATCTCCAGAGCCCACATCATCCTCATTCCTTGGAAATGGCGACGACGACGATGTAGAAGATGGAACGAGAAGTTTTTTCTTGAAAACATCCTTGAGAATGGAAGCCATGACGTGTTGTTGAGGCAGGCCACAGTGAACCACGAGGTTTATTATCACAGGAAAGCTAAATAAACAGTTGCAAGGTTGCTCATTGTAATATTACATATCAACATCACCCAACGAATGGATGACCATGAAGGGTCACACTTATAATATATAAATACATTGAATGACGACATTTTGCTGGAATTAAAAACATATGAAGCAGTGTAACAATTAGATCGAGAATATTATCGGCCTAGCAATTTTCGATTCTACATGTAGAAATATCATAACCACTACGGCCAGTAATAAATAAAACTAATACAATTGACGTATGTACGTCTGCATGAACGTACATTTTGTTTGTTAGCTAATCCGATCTTTATAAAAACAAACAAGCGGATAATATATGAACAACAGCAGCCAACATGAAGCAATTTAGGCATCGGTTAAACAGCATCCAGCAAACAAACACTGAGTGGAAGAACAAAAAAGGGAAGGAACGAACTCGGATGAATGGAAGGCATGGAGATCGATTGCCCGAATGACGGATTGGAAGGTGAGGTTCGCCGTCATGAAGTTGCCTCTGTGCACCACTGGTTCATTATCCGGTCCGTCCCAGCAGTCAACTGCAAGCAACATTTACACTCATTTAGTGGCTATCGTAACATTCATCATTTCCGTTTTAATAATAATAATAAAAATTACAACAATAACAACAACAAGAATAATAATAATAATATGTAGATGCTAAAATCCATCTGTCTAATCCTATAAATTAGTTATCCATTATTAATAAAGTTAGTAAGCCATAATACATAAGCGCACACACACACACATGTATAATTTACATTTACATACAACACACACACACACACACACATGTATAATTTATAACACATCCACGTACATTAATCTACTTCAGAAAAAAATTTATCGTAATCCATTTTACAAAATTCATTTTCTCCATTCGGCGTCAACATGAAAATATGCCAACAGTGAAATGACAACCGGCAAATAAGACTTTCGAGAAAAAAGTTTCGTAATCATCAGCGTATCAAAAAATATAAGAAAGAAAAATAAGCAACGTCAATTAGATACCATGCTGGATATTTAAGCCTGGGATACGAAAAAAAACATGAAACTTCGCAAATGATGAATTGCACTGGTGAAATATTAGCTTCTCTATTAAAAAATAACTTGAATTCTGTTAAAAAATGATTTAACTCAAATGGAACCTACCCTTCACGAGTCTGCATCCCTTCTTCAGAACGTATATGTAGCCATCCAGACTGGGCTTGCTCAGCAATTGATCCTTCAGTAAGTACCTGTGAAAAATTTTACTTCAACTGAAATGCATAGAATGGTCGAACTGCAATATAATCAGTTTTGTAATTAAGAAGACGTTCATATTTGTTTCTTTAAGTTGTCGATAAAACATAAGCACCAGGTAGGCGTTAAAATTTATAAAAAATATTTCTTCCCTTATTTATGTTAGTAAAACGCATTTGGCATGAATCATATGTCTGAATATCCGTTATTTATCATTATGCTTTTTTTTAGAAACGTGCAATCAATTTATAACCACTGTTGATCGATAGGTTTCCTCTTTTTATTTTTCCTTCTGTTTCTCTTTCTTTATTTTTTTTTCTCTCTCTATCTTTCCCTTGTTTGTGTTAAATAGTTTTCAGTCACTCTAAATCGTTCTAAGCCAATTAATCTTCCCTGGAAGATAAATGGTGCAATGTTACAAAGCTAAGCACAAATTTAAAACCCTCTAAAAAATGTTGATCCGTTGAAACCGGCATGCATTAGCGTGGCGCGGAGAAAATCACATTAGGACACCGAGCATTCAATTCGTGTTGGCTTAATATGAGTAGATGATGACGTCAGTAGTGAACATAGTCCGCTGTGGGAGTAAGAGATCGGCAAAAATAAAATGAAAGTAGAACGAACGTGTTGTGCGACGAGGCGACGAAGTAGTGGGACAACGGCTGGTTCATATCTTGGCAGACGTGTGTTTGCATCGGGTTGAATATGAAGCACTCCTCAGATGACAGGTAGGCCGTGAAACCTGCATCATTGTTTACGTTTCAGTTTATTCAGCTGGCGTTAAATTTGATGCTTATCTATTAGCAATAGTTGTAAACTCATGAAACATCATCCCTCTAGATATAAAAATTGTAACTATATGGAATTAAAAATTCAATTCGAAGCAAAAAGATGTTGAAATAAACTAGGTAAGAAAGTAAGAAAAAAAGAAAAAGGAAGAAACCATCAATGCCGATGTAGCTGTTCAATCGTCCGTCTTCCGATGGCTCGTATTTCATAATTAGCTCCACGCACTTCTCCCTCGTCATGTCGGCAACCTGGATTTTGTAACAGAATCGCATTAAAAAAGTAATAACATGGAATCAAAGACAGAAAGAAATAATGGCTGACATGGACGCAACAGCCTGGGCGGGCAATCAGGCAGTACACTCCTGATCATATGCTAGATAATGTGTGCCTGTCTATATATCATGTGCTAAAAAATGTATGCGTGTTAGTATATGCTAGAATGATGTATGCCAACGCGTGTGTGCGTGTATTAATGTAGATAGATAAAATGCACGTGTAGACATTGTATGCAGAACATTAAAACATGTGTTAAGCGAGGGCAATACATTTTAATTTCTCAAGAGAACTTATTGCCAACTGAAATGCAGCCAATAGAAATTGAAATGATGTTAACTCTGACAGAATAAACAAAATGTGAAGGCATTTTTTGAAGCCATTCGTTTGAAATTAAGTCCGTGTTGAAAATAAATTAAGGTACACATAAATAACAACCACACCATCCAAATGATACTTTAACACAAGCAGATAGCTTAGAAAATTATTCTGAGTGATGAGGATGATGGGAAATGTATAAACTAAACAGAAGTAAGGCCAACATGAGCCATCAAGTTAATCTTGAAAATTAAGAAAAAAAACCAGATGAGTAGTGAGTAAGTACTCGGAGTTGACTGAAAACATCGTAAGAAAAACGTTGTAGGAAATTGAAGAAATAAATAAGTTGATAGCAATTATGAGAGAGGAGACAAACAAAAACAATTATAAATTGAATAAACAAACGGCAGATAATTAACTTTAAACAAACAACTGAGAAAAAATGATAAGAACATCAATGAACAAACAGGTAGACATTGACGAACAGTGACGAAATAACAAATAAACAAACGGACAAATAAATATATAAACAAACAGAAAGAGAGACAAAGACAGAGACAAACATAAAAAGCCATACAAACCGACGAACAAAGAGGCATAAAAAACACATCCAAGCAGACAACATAGAGACGTACATAGAGGGGAAGAAATAGAAACACACATACCCCTTGTTCAGACTCAACAAACAACATGAGTTCCTCGCAAGTCATGTAATCAATTTCCTTTGCATATCTGATCGACAGGAAAACGTTGTTATGATGATGAAGATGATGACGTAATGTATCATGTTTGTTTGCTGCTGCTGCTTATCAAAATGCGGATTCATCGCGTAATAAATAAAACCACTTCATTGTGCAAACCAATACATTCATAAAAATATTTTCAATTAGAAATGCCTGTGAAAGTGTAAACAAGTATGTACATAAGAGACCTTATATTTTATTATTTATATGAAATTTTACGCCACCGTCTTTTTTTGCTCCCACTCAACGTGAGATGGTAAAGTGGAGTGACGTTTCCATCAACACCCACAAACATAACTTTATAAATTTCGCTATATACTCTATCACACACACACACACACACACACACACACACATATTAATATATATATTAATATATATATATATATATATATATATATATATATATATATATATATATATATATATATATATATATATAAACATTCATTTGCATCATAAAAACATATTTATAATTTGACAAACCTTATAAATAGAAAATGTATATCAGGTCTGGTAGAAAATTTTTTAAAAACATCAACAAATTCCTTTTGGCTTAATTTGAAGTCGTCATCATCTTTGCTTTGTTTGACTTCCTGCAAATTATGGAATAAATGATGTGGTGGAATGTATGATGAGAAAGCAAAAACTAACCTCGAGCTAAAAATTCTCCCATAACTTCAAAAACAAAACTTTTTTTTTATTTTTCTATTTTGCAAGCAAAAAACTGTCCAAAAAGTGATTCATTCCATTCACATGATAAAGTTTTACAAAATAACAAAATTTCCTTAATATAAATCAAAGGGTAATAACAAAGAAACAATCTACAAAATTGAATGAAAATTGAAAAAAAAGTTAAACAACAGATTGAAGTGAACCTTCAGAAGATGTTTGATCTGTGATGTGGAGAGATTTTTGTTGATTTTCTTCATGAGCTGGACGACCTCCTCACCATCCAGCTGACCATGGCCACTTGTATCTGCATCTTCAAATATGCCCTCCAGCCATCTATGTAGTCAACAATCATAAGGTTTCAACAATCATTCTTCAGTTAAGTCCTTAGAAAAATAAATGAAGCAGTAGGTACAACAAATTCATTTTTTAAAGCCACAGGAAAACAAAATAATATAACATTATATCCTCATCACATTAAAACCCTATCAAAGCAGTAAACACCAGAACTTAATGATCTAACTACACATGATAAGGATTAAGAAGACTGAAGAGTAAGACAGACAGATAGATTAGCATTAAAACAAGAGAGCCTCCAGTAAAACCACTGCTTGCACCTGCAAGACGAAGAAAAGTAAAACTGGAAAGTAATCATTTTTAATGGATCAACTGAATAACAAATCTCGTGATGCCTACGGCACATTTCCATGAACAACTCAACTTTGTTGTCACCGAGTCAAAAAAATTTAAAATAATAAAGAATTACATTAATGTAGTTGAGAAAAACACAGAATGATAATCTTTCCTTAAAGTAAAAACCCCGTAAAACTAATTAAACAGTGTATGAGATTATAACATTTGAATAAATATAAGGCTTATTTGTTGCAGTACAGTATATGGCCAACGAAAATAACCAACAAAAACTGACATGTTGATGGAATAACTTGTTTCATCTTCTGATAACTATTAACAGGTATAAATCAATTGATATAAATCAATTGAAATGTCTAATCAGTTTAACCGTTTAATCAATATCTTGAAAAACCACACACAGAAAGAGCACAACTAAATAATCTAGAAGGAATTAAACCATAAAAACAAAAAAAAGTAGACCTATCTTCATCATGTACGTACGAATTCAAATTCAAATGCATAGATTTTAATGGCAGATACATCCATTTTCATAGCACGCCCTTCTCACAGAGCACTTTTATTTTATACATCCTCCATTTATAAGAACAAACTCAACATCAATAAAACAAAAACCTGTCATGACGCTTAAGCATGTTCAAAATATTTATCAAAATGATGAATGGATGGCGTCACTTTATTTGCTTTAAACTGCATACATTGTCATGTTATTATCTGCATTCACTTTCCACTCATCGTCACTTATCAAAATATAATTTTTTCAACATTTTTTAAACGGTTTCTTTTATAATCTTTATGCTAAAAAATTTTGAAAAAAAAATGAAATTCCAAATCTGGTTGCAAAAATTGCGTTGAATTTATTCATTTTTGAAATTTCCCTTTCATTCAATAAGCCATCAGAACTAAATTCGCTCCAGAAATCCTTTTTTCAATAATTTTTCACTCTTCATTTTATCAGTCGCGGTGAATTACAGAAGAAAATGTCATTTGTGGAAAAAATTTTTTTTTAATTTTTAAACCGTCCTTTGTAGGGTGAAAACGCCTGGTAAGAAGTGTAATGAGAAGTATTCTGAAAAATTATTTAGAGACAATAATTCGCATCACAACGAACAGACAAATAAAAAATTAAAACGACCTTGATCTGCAATACAACAAAGTAACAAACATATTAATAAATAAATAAATAATTAAATTAATTAATTAATTGATTGATTAATTAATTAATTGATTAATTAATTGATTAATTAATTAAGAGATACGAGGAGAAACTATGAGGACTTTACTTACTTATCTCTCAGTGGCTTCCTCACATCTGAACTCGCATTGCCCACTGTTGGGATAAATAAATAAAATATTTAACACGTATGCCACATACACACGCAGACAGACACACAGACAGACAAATACACACACAGACACAGACACACACACACACACACACACACAGATACATACACACATACATATATATATATATATATATATATATATATATATATATATATATATATATATATATACACATGTATACATACATATACAAAGTGCTATAACAAAAAAATACAACCGGACACTAATTATTTAAAAATTATCTTTTGAAAACGTTTTTCCCTTCCATTTGAAAGAACGTGAAAAAATTCTGCAGAGAATCATTCGCAGATTTGCACCGATAAATTCGAAGAAATGACAAAAACCTGACCTACGACTTCCTCTTTCGCGAATTTTTAACCCTGCATGACAACGAAAATTTAACAATGCAATAAAAACTTAAAAGCACATAAAAATGCCATTTACAAGTGTAAGAAATAAATACGATCTTCTCCTAGGTAAGAAAAAACTATGAGGCACTTGAAAATTAGTAAAATATGTTAAAGAAAAGGAAGATGAAAATAAAAGCAGCCACATTATTTCCAGTAAAAGATCCCTTTCCCCTTTTTTGGCTGATCAAATATTTCACGTGAAAATAAATTAAACAATACAAGTTCAAGTACAACAAAACAAAAAATGAATGCAAATAAGCAGTTCTGCATTTAAACTACATTTCATATGTTTTTGACTGCAAAGCAAGCAGTGTTTGTTACACTTAAGAGAAAAATAATAAAATAAAAAGCAAATCAAGAATGAAGGAAGATGAAAACATAGAACAAACAAACATTTGAAATCAATTAGTTGTAGATGGGGAGAGCCAAACACTTAAACACAACAACTATGCTCTGAATATAAATGATGAAAAATAACTATTTCAATCATTCACAATGGACTCAATATATGGAACAATCGATGTAATGGATGGATGTACTGTAGCGATGGTAACTTTTAGTTGATCACTCCCTAGAAACTTCTTTGTTTCCTTTCGCAATTTGCATGGTGGGGAACGCTTCAGAAGTAATCATAAAATATCAATTTGATCCATCAGCAGTTAGCTCTAATAATAATAGGAGTGCCAGGCTTCATGTCAAAAATATTTCTCTGAGAAAATGCTAGCAATTATACTACCACTATTAACCATACTAGCAATATTTAAGTATTAATTTAGTTCTTTTAAAACTTTGAAGGTTCAAAAACCGTCAAAACATGGACAGCAATATGATAGAGGCATGCTATGTGTATGTGTCCAATAATACAGCGAATGAACAGACATACTGACTAACAACAGATGAGCCTGCGTAATTAGTTCTGGTAATTTAATTGACGCAACACAGAAAGTTTAATTATAACTAATTAAAAAATTAACACTATGTAAGTACATTTGCATTTGTCCTGGACAACATCATTAAAACTGCTTGCTAGAATAGAAATTACACATATAGTCAATTGAACAACAATAACATTCGTTTAAAAAAACATAATTTTGCATACACAAAAAGGGAATACGTCAATTCATTTATACTAAATCAAATAAACTTGTGTTACACCTTTGAAGTATAAAATTGAAATTTATCTTATTCAAGTAATTCCATCCCACTTACACATTTGAAGCATAAAATTAATCTAGTATATTTTTGTTGCCTGTTGACGCAAACAGGTCACCATCGTTGCTTTAATTCTGCATGTGCAATAACATAGTTACGCAGAAAATATTTATAAACCAAGGCAGCTTTATTTATGTGTTACCATTTTTCTAGCCACAAAAATTTTTAAAATAGAATAAAATAAATTGAAATGGAAATGGAAAACATACCATCCATCCAATCATCCATCTATCCTTCAATACACACATGCATGTTTGCTGATTTATTCAGGTGATAATGTTAAGTGAAAACCATTTATAACTTTTAATTGAAGACTAGAAATGTTATTAACAGTTTGAATCATTGTGGCCATTTTCAATCTATCTTATTACGCTGCTTATATTATGTTTTCCTTTGATAAAAAGAAGTCCTAATAAAAACAATTCATTTTATTGAAAGGCAAATTAATATAGATTAGATATTTTTTGTGGCATGCATTTTCTCAGCATGTTTTTCAACCAAGCATTACCATTAGTCAAAATTTGTGCCTACTCATTTGTAACCATTACCTTCTACATTTAGGTTTACTTCGGAGAAACATCGCAAACTGAAAAAATGCTGATTTTCTTTTATAATGAATGATAATGAAAAAAAATCATTAGCAACATCAAGGAATATTAGTAAAAACTAATCATTATTTACAACTGTAGCCAGCAAATAAAAAAAAACTGACAGACTGTGGCTTGCCACAGAGCTGTTAATAGAAGTTAGGTTACTGTAACTAACATGGTTTGAATTTTCCAGTGATGAGACAAGTGAGACCAGTGATCCAGATCTTGGCCTCGTCCACAGACGCCGCTACCAGGTCGAGACTGTCAAACGAGTCGCCAATTATTATGGAGAACATGCAGCCTTCGTTTACGTTCGGAAGCTCCGACTCTTTCAAGTTTCGCAATATTTCTGTGTTACGACCGCACCGAACTTCTTTGATCTGACTAACGAGAACTGAAAATCGAAAAATTAAATTTGAAAACATTTCAGACACAATTTTCTAACTGGTGAATATTTTTAATTGGATAAAAATGGCTTTCAAAAATATATCAACATTTATTGCTTATGTCAACAGTACATTAAAACATTCCCACAATCTTTGCTAGATGGCTCAAAAACAAACACTAAATTGAAATTTTTTTGATAAAAAACTTTGAGAAAGAAAATTTTTGAGAAAGTTTTTTCATTGAGAGACAGTAAAGAAAGTGTTATTTATAGAGGCATTGTTGTTGCTTTAATTATTTCTTCCTTGCACAATGTCATTCATCCGTGCTAAATTTATAAACATTCATTCATTTTAGGAATAAAGAACTGATCAAAACATATGTTAGGGTTTTTAAAAAAATGGCTTTCATCTCAGCATTCAAATAGCAAAAATATTTTAGATTTCCAGCATATCATTGCATTTAGATACTGATATATATTCTACAAAACAATCAAGACTGTGTGATTTTCCCAAAAAAATTAATTTTATTCCGTTGCAAAATATAAAATTTAAAAAAAAGCCTTGTGGCGGTTAAAAAAATATCAAAAGATATCGATGAATCATCAACATTTGTAGCACCAATATTTCTTTAATCAGCATCAGTTGGCTTCATTGTAAAGCTTTAAGGTTCAACTCAAAACCAAATTATGCACTGTATGTAAGCAGCTAGGCAATTGTATGTAATTTATTGCAATAATAACCAAGATCAACAACAGAGTGAACGAGTGCACAATGTGAACCGAGCATAATTAGTAGTAAAAGTTTTATGCACTTGAATGATAACATGCATACTGCAAATAAGTAAATAGACTATCATCATTACCATCATCATCAACATCACATCATCAACATCACATCATCACCATCATCATGTGCTAAAACTACAAGTATAATTTGCTTGTATTTATCAATCTAACAGCACTAAATTGCTTTCCAATAGGTGTCACAAACAACAGCATCACTATAATTATCATTATTATCATCAACTAGCAAATAGCAATGTTAACAACAATCCCAAAACTTTTATTTTAAAACTTAACAGAACACACACACACACACACACACACACACACACACACACACACACACACACACACACACACACACACACACACACACACACTCACACACACACACACACTTAAAGAGCATAGTATAGTAAGGATGCAAATAACATCACATAACTTCACCCAATATACTTTTATTGATAATTGTATGATGGTTGAATTAAGTGCAAGCATGTAACTAAAATCTTGAAAACCTCAATCTTTATCACCCTTGTAAAAGACCAACAACTTATATATATATATTTAGTAACTGTTCACATAGAAATTTCAACATGGAGTTTTTCATCTCTAATATATAAGATAAGCCTGCCCTAACACACAACACTTTGTACCCAAATGTTTCAAAGTGGTGCACATGTAATGGTGTATTACACTCAGGGAACATAAAAATGTGACAGCAGTTCTTAAAGCCAACATTTCACAAAGGATCCATCTCTCTTTCTTTCTGGGCTTCTCCCTTTCTCTCTCTCTCTCTCTCTCTCTCTTCCTCTCTCACTCTCTCTCTCACTCTCTCTTTCTTTCTCTCTTCTCTCTCTCCTCTCTCTCTCTCTCTCTCTCTCTCTCTCTCTCTCTCTCTCTCTCTCTCTCTCTGTACAGGTTTACATCAAAGTATTCCACAGGTGTAGTCTGCAAAATTTTAAAAATTTAAAAAAGAAATTTGTCCAACAATGAATTTTCAACCAGTGCTCATTTTCATACACATATCACCGAATTGCTAACTCATGCCAATTTAAGCCCAGAAGAAGATCCAGATATAGAAACTATTTTGCTGAATTTGTTTTCATTTTAAAAAGATTAATCATATATATTTGAAATAACAAGAATAATCATTTAACAATTAAATTGAGTAAAGGGAATGTGAAAAATAGGCTAGAATATTTTGAAAACACATTCTTAAAATTGCAAAAATTATGGCTAAAGCAAAAAATGTAACTGAAACACCTCCATAGAAACCATGCAAAGCAAACAAATTTAAAATTATTTAAATATTTGAACAGCTTAACAATGAGACATAGACAGCTTTAAAATTTTTTAAATACATATAGGTTTAGATTAACAGCAAGGAATATGTTAAGATAAGAAACCAACGTTTGGCCTTGTTTGGTTTCTTTGAAGAAGGATGCCATACAAGCTCTTGATAATCAGATGACAGCAAATACAACCTCCTATACTGCCTGCCATTTGAGCGTATCTTGATTAGCTCACTACCATTTTGCATGTAACAAAGACAATCTGGAGCTAAACATTTATATTATAAAATATAAAAATCAATTTAAAAATTCTACGAAATGTTACACATTCTAAAAAATTATTTGTGATGACACATTTAAACATATAACATTAAGTTGTTTTCAAGTTGATCTCCTTAAAATATTTAGTACTTTTTGTTTCTAAACAGTTCTTTAGTTCTGTAAATTAATTTTGTTTATTGGACAGTAAAGCATTATCTGAGATTGAAACTTTTAATTTAAGAACTCAAAATTTAAAACATCTGTTACATTCACTTTACATAAAGGTAAATATGCTCATTTCAATATGCTTATTAATTAGTATTTCAATAAAAAACTAAATACTATACTTATACTCAGATGAGAATTTACAAATTTAGACTCTAAAGTATTAAGATATATAAAAAAAACAATGCTACAAAGCTTGCTATTTTCTACCTGCTATAAAAATATTTCTACTTTCATAATCAACATAACTTCTGAATTTCAGAATGATGTTTACATCACCCACAATTAAACTTACTAAGATCTATAGTGAACTAGTTAACCACTAACACCACAAACTAAATTAATCAGTGTAGCAATGTAAATTTGATCAACTTTCATTTTTAGATAAGATGTCTTGAGATAACATAATCATAATGACATCACTTTTTTCTACACTAACCACTAGCAACAGTCCTATCAGTTATTGCACTTGGGTAGCTGAATGAGACCGTCTTTTTCTTCTCACTGCGCCTTCCACTTCCCTGTTTCATCAAACTACTTTTTCTCGGCAGGGACCCATCTACTGCTGAAGAAGAATTGTCTGGAAGTAAGAAGTTGTTGTTGTTGGTTGTTGTTGCAGTTGTTGGTAGTGCAGGTAAAGCAGTTGTAACTACTCCAACCATTTTGTTGCTATCCCTATTCAGATTCACATCTTGTTGCTCAGTATCAACAGCAGGGCTAGCAACATCAATCGTTGTTTTGTTATCCTCAGTCATATCTCATATTTATTTTCAATTAAAAACATATTTTGTTTGTCTGTTTTGTTTAGTTTTGTATATTATTGTTTTGTTTTTGAATTTTAAAAATTTTTAAGTTAAAAAAATATTAAAGTTAAGTTAACTGTTAAATTAATATTTAATTAATAATTAATTCACACATCTACATATTAAAATTAATTAATATTAAAGGCAGACAAGTTTATTTAATTAATTAATAATTAAAAGTTCTTCTTTTGAAAACAGAACAGGACAAGAACCAGGACAGCCCAGTAGAACTCGAATGCACAGTGTACATGTACAACTTCTCTTCAAAACCTCAATCATTTTTCTTCTTGTGCCGTCCTGAACTTCTTACGTCTTGTTCCTTGGCATCGGCAAGTGCCACACGAACGGCATTGAAATAAATATGGAAAAACAAAATTCATGAAAAAATATCCATATATGCATATATAATAAAATAAAATAGAAAATTTCCAACAGATATTCATGGAAAATGGCCAACAGATAGATATATTTATAGAAAAATGTCCAACAGACATTCATAGAACAATTTCTAATTGATATTCATAAAAAGAGTATCCAACAGATATTATATATATATAGAATTTCATGCACATTTATATTATTAACTTACGCATAATTATATGTAATGTTTCCTATTAATTATAAGTATATGTATGTATCATTCTAAAAAGTATATGGGTATCATCATTTAAAGTATATAGCGTATCATTCTAGTATATGTGTATCATTATTCAAATATAGTCGGACCTCATTATAGCGAACTTCTATACAATAAAAATCTCTATATAACGAATTTTTATGTCCCTTAGAATTTTATAAAACTGTTTCTATAAAGCTAAAATAATTTCTCTATAGCGAACAAAATTTATAAAAGTTTAAAAAAATATCCGACCAGTAAACATTATTAATTTATGTTATCAAATAAATGATTATAAGGTGGTTTTTCATAAATATATTGCATATAAAGGCAATACTTTAAGGCAATATAGAATTTTTTCCCGAAGAAATTCTTTATAACGAAATTTCTATATAACGAACCATCAAATTCGTTATACTAAGGTCCGACTGTATGTTTATGTAAGTATAACTTATTCTAAGTATATGTTTAAATATCATATAAAAATATATTATTATATCATTATATACCACACACACTATATTATTATCTAAAAAGCATCTTGGCGATTCACCGTTTGACCGGAACTTTTAACATTGAACAAAAAAACTAGGCTTTAGTTATTCTTTTATTATTCTTAATATTATTTAACTAATAAATTTATTTTATATTATTTTCTCCCATCATACAATAAAGTATAAAAGGAAACAAAAACAAACGCGAATAAACATTGTGTGTATAATACGCAATTCTCGGAACAAATTATTTTTTCTAATGCTATCTGTGGAGTAACTGAAAAATAATGATCAAATCATTCCCATGATTTTGTTCTTAAATTCGTTAAAAACTGAAAATGCGTAGTCATGTTTAAGACTAAGTCAAACTAACTCTCTGAAAAGATAAGACCCTTACAAAAATTGTTGGTTAAGTCACTGATGCATTGTAACAAAAAACAATTAAATTCATTTTAACAGTTTAAAAAATAAATTGAGTAAAATTAACTAGTAGCCTTCTTAAACAAACTGAATGTGTTAACCAGAATGTGAAAAAACTCATTCAAACATGAACATCGTACAATTTAAATTGTTTTGTGCCATACCAAATCTAGCGCGTCTTCTCACGAAAGATTAAAGAACGCTTCATGCTTTTGACAGCCGGGTATCTCTTTTGCATTTGAACTCGGTCAATGCAACACAGTGACTGGGCACTTGACCAACACCAAAAATGAGTTTCAGAAAAGTGTAGCAAAAACAGCAAATGGTTGAGGTATAATCATATGATATCAGTGTTTTATAAGGCTAATAAATTTATCACTGAAATAACAAAATCTGTTGGTCTACGTACCGTACTTACCACGTTCTTAAAACAATGTTTCAATGACAAATTTTGATGAAAACTCAAGAGAAGATTATAAAATTCAAGAAAATGAAAATTGCTAGAGCGTGGTTCAGTTTGATTTGTTGAATAATATATGTACTGATGGTAGCTTTTCATAGCAGGGCTACCGGAAAAAAGTTTGTGTTGTGTTATCTATGCTGAATTGTAAATAATGCTTTATCGAAGGCGATAAAATTTCATTAAAATTGTAGCAAGGCGCTGGATGGCACGTTCATTTATTTTTTTGTTAACATTCGGTTCGTAAATTAGATTTCCACTTCCACATCCGTCATGAAACTTTTTGAGGGGAGAAACTCGTGCAAAATTTACTTCACTGTTTTATTATTCATTAAATGTACTGTCCAATGTTAATTAAAAATATTTTTGCAGAATATACAGCTGTTAATATTTCTTGACGTAGGTACGTTTTGGTTGTTTTTAACCTATAAATATTTCATGACCTTTTTGAACCAAATGTAATTAACTGCTCATAAATTATTGTAATTTTATTTCAATGTTTTAATGACTATTTTCTTTTTCATTATATCAACTTTTTTGTAAACTTTGGCTCAATTCAGTAGAAAGAAACGGTTTTCAAAGGAATAAAAAATTAACTGATAGAATGAGATGGCTAATAATAACATATAGTTTTATAGCAATAAAATGCATGCACGCTTCGTTTCAATCTTGCCAAAAGTTAGGAACACCGTTGAAATGGTTTTCTTCTTACTAATTGAACCATGCCGCGATGGCTCACGTAGTGCTCATGCCATCAGTTTCCTTAATCAAGTCACGTTCCTAGTCTGCTTGTTAGGTCAACAAATTAAAAGACACAGGCTTAACTTGCATTATGACCGAACAACCAATGCATCTTGCTATCTTAAAATGACAAGAACACGGCAAAGATTTTAACATTTCATATCCAGTTTTCGGTTCATCATTTTCACATAGGAATCAACAAACTTTTTGATTATTTTTATGCCGTAGGTAAAATATTTTTAAATTTCAGAAAATTTTCAGAAATAAAGAAGCCACGAAAAAAATTTTAATCAGACTGCTCTGATCAACTAGGCTTAAATGGACGATTAACTTTTTTTTTACAAAATTTCAATTCGTATTGAAGGATAAACAACTAACGAACAAATATTTTTAACATCATTTTACTACTTGGTGGTTATCAAAGTTTAGAGATCGATTTTTTTAAGTTGACCAAAAGTATTAACTCCACAAAATGAAAGAATGATATAAAAGAAGTTCGAAAGTAAGAGTAAGCTGATATTAAAATTTGTTAAATACTTTTTCAGATTTTAAAGCCATTCCCAAACTAGGACTTATAAAAAAAGTTTTTCTTCCGTTCTTATGGTCAAATTGTTTCGTCAATCCCCTAGCATTTTTTCACAATTGTTTTCCATTGCATTTCACTTTCATTCTAAGTTTATAATAAAGTCTGAGTTTGCCATTTAAGGTTGGTTGCGGCTAAACGGAAATTGAAGGAAGACAAACAACATATGAGTTAGGGATGACGACAGGAGTAATTTTGAATAAATAAATAATTCGTAAACAAATCTTGGAAAAAATGTCACATTCATCACATGAAATGCATTTCTCCAACTTCCTTTCTTCATTCCTCTCTTCTATTTTATACAATTTTTGTTCCATCTCTAAAATTTTCTTGATAAAAATCTGTTACACCATTAAAAACTTGTTGATGGTTGAAAAGTAAAAGAAGGTTTAACGCGGTTATTTGTGAGTTGTTTAGTACGTTTAAAATTTAAAATTTTGACTTTTTAAGGATCCACTTAGATCATCAACTTAGATCTCAAGATCTACTTACTTTTTAAAAAGCTATCTTCAGAGGCTATATACCAAACGCATAAGAAACATTATTTAATCTATTCATTCAGATATTTATTTATCCATTCACTTAGTTACACATCCTAACATTCATCCATCCAATCTATCCATCCAATCATCCACGGAATTCTTTCAACACAAAACCAACAACCCAACGTATTGATCTTATTGGCTCTCACAACATCCTCCCATTCCATGAACTGTCTGGTTGGTTGAATCTTTCCCTAGTGCTTGTGGCCATGTTCTTCCCATATTTACTGCAGTATCGAATCGATCAATGGACATCATTTTTTACTTTTCATATAAACGTCACCGTCATCATTCGTGTGTAATATATATATATATATATATATATATATATATATATATATATATATCGTGATCATCATCTTTATTAATGTGTATATTATCACATGTATTATCAACATTGCTATTCGTGCTATCATCATCATTCATATCGTCATCACTGGCACTACCATTTCACCATCCTTACCATCAACATCATTACTATTATTATCACTTCTTCTTTTTCTTCTTCTTCTTCTTTTTCTTCTTCTTCTTCATCATCATCATCATCTTCTTTTTCTTCTTCTTCTTCTTCTTCTTCTTCTTCTTCTTCTTCTTCTTCTTCTTCTTCTTCTTCTTCTTCTTCTTCTTCTTCTTCTTTGCCATCCTCATCATCCAACACATCTTCTGTTCACGTAATCATCGTCGTCCTACTAAAATGTTGTCAGTCAGTAAACATTGCGTCTCGATGTACTTGTTTGCAGTATTATCACCATTCAAGTGTTACCCAGCCTGATTGATTTGCTTAGTTAGTATATTTAGAATCTTAATAAGCAAACAGCAAAATAAATCTTCGATATTTCTGTTAGATGTGTCCTCCAAATGAGAATACGCTATTAATGCCAGGGGTTAATTTTATTTTTTATATTTTTCTTACCCATTTTTATTATTAGATTGATTTAAAGCTAAACCCTCACGTCAAAATTATAAAAATTAATATGTAAATTGTTTCAAAAACAATTTTATG